AGCTTGTAATTGTACTTTGAGGGCTTCCCCTGATGGCTCAGCGGTTAAGAATCTGCCTGCTAATGCAGGAGACGCAAGTTTTATCCCCAGGCTGGGAAGATCCCCTGGAGAAGGAAATGGGAACTGACTCTAGTATTCTTGCCTGGGAAATCCCATGGACAGAGGAGCCTGGTGGGCTATACAGTCCATAGGATGGCAAAGAGTCAGACACAACTTAGCAACTGAACAACAACAAACAACAAATTGTACTTTGAACTTTCTACGTATACACTCTCGCTTTCTGCAGGGAAAAAAAATAGAAGAAGAAAGAGGAAAAGATTGTTTTATCTCTTCCTCTGTAGCTCTTATATATATTTATTTTTCTGGCTTCATTGTGCTGGCTAGAACTTTTATTAAAATATATGAATATAAGTGGTAATAGCAAGCATATCTGATTCACTTCAGATCTCAGAGCAAAGTCTTTCAACAATTTACCATTAACTGTGATGATTGCTGCGGGTTTGGATAGATAGTCTTTAATAGATAAAAAATATTCCCTTCCATTCTTTGTTAACAAAGAGGTCTATTTTTTATGAAAGGATGTTGAATTTCTGCATCTGTTGAGATGATCCTATTTTGTCTTTTATTCTGTTGATGTCGTAAAATACATTGATTTTTGTTGTTGTTCTCCCCTCCAGCTCTGTCATTTATTTGCATAACTCCTTGGGAGAAGCAGTAATGAGAGATATTACATCTTCAGAACAGAGAAGGGCATACTATACTTTAAGGCTACTTGTTCAAAGAATTAAAGAGTTACAATATATTCCACATGGCAGAAATGATGCCCTCCTAATTTTGAAGCTGATAGTTAAACTGTCAGCCTTTTATAATTAGAATCCATATTAGAGGTTGCAAACTGGTGACCAATGTGGGTAAACGTGGCCTGCAAGTGGGTTTTGTCTAGCCCACAGGGGTTTTAAACAGCCCCTCAACCCCAGCTTGTTGCTGGAGACACAAAGATTTTACCTCTGTGATTTCAGCTTTCTCTCTTAAAAGAAAAAAAAAATTATTTAAGGCTGTGCTGGGTCTTCATTACTCTTCCTGGGCTTTCCCGCCTTGTGGCAAGCGGGGGCGACTCTAGAGGTGCAGCGCAGAGCTTCTCATTGCAGTGGCTCCTCTTGTTGCAGAGTGTGGGCTCTAGGGTGCACAGGCTTCAGGAGTTGTAGTGCGTGCCTGGGCTTTGTTGCCCTATGGCGTGTGGGATTTTCTCGGACCAGGGATCCACCCTGTGTCTTCTGCACTGGTAGGTGGATTGTAAACCATTGTGCCATCAGGGAAGTCCTCAGCTTTCTCTTTATAAACCAGCAAAAAAACTGACATTAATGAACCCATGCAGTAATCAGCTGAAGAGAGCAGGCCCCCTATTGAAAAGGCAGAGCATCTGGTCTGTAATTTGCCCCTGGTATGTCCATTCATACCACATTTCTGCTTCTAATTTTGTTGCACATTTTGTTATCTTGGCAGACTACCTGCCCTTTCACAAAAATGTTGTTTAGCAAGTAAACAAATATAAAAATGTTAAAATGTACACTTCTGGAAAATGCTGGAATCAAACAGATTAAACCAAAATAGAAAATGTAAATTAAGGGGTGAGTATTGAAACCGAGCACGGCCCTGTGGGGCTCCCTCGCACCGGAGCTTTTCCGTCTCCATTTCTTGTGGGCAAGACTCCAGCCTCCAAAGGGCGGGTTCGAGGGAGGAGCAGCCAAGAGATCACCTGCTGCTGCTGCTAAGTCACTTCAGGCGTGTCCGACTCTTCGCAACCCCGTGGACTGCAGCCTACCAGGCTCCTCCGTCCATGGGATTTTCCAGGCAAGAGTACTGGAGTGGGCTGCCATTGCCTTCTCCGAGAGACCACCTGAGGCAAGATTAAAGGGGCCAGAGAAGCTCCTCAAGATTGTGAAACTCCCCACCTGAGAGGGCTCCCCAGGTGGCCCTACTGGTAAAGAACCCGCCTGCCAGTACAGGAGAGACACAGGGTGAAGGTTCAATCCCTGGGTCGCGAAGATCCCCTGGAGGAGAGCATGGCAACCCACTCCAGTATTCTTGCCTGGAGAATCCCACGGACAGAGGAGCCTGGCCGGCTACAGTCCACGGGGTCCCAGAGTCGGACACGACTGAAGTGACTTAGCATGCACACACCACCTGAGAGGAGACTAAGGGAGTGCAAGCCCTGCTCACACCCAAATCTTGTCAGAGGCCCACTTTAAAAAAATGCATTTATTTTTTAATTGAAGGATAATTGCTTTACAGAATTCTGTTGTTTTCTGTCAAACATCAGTGTGAATCAGCCACAGGTATACATGTGTCCCCTCCCTCTTGAACCTCCCTCCCATCTTCCTCCCCACCCCACCCCTCTAGGTTGATACTGAGCCCCTGTTTGAGTTCCCTGAGCCATAGAGCAGATTCCCATTGGCTATCTAGTTTACATATGGTAATGTAAGTTTCCATGCTACTCAGAGACCCCACTTTTGAACAACTGCTACACATCTCATGAAGTCCTCTGGGGTTGGGACACATAGTGTCCAAGGGCGAAGCCAGGTGTGTCTCCCTTTGCCTGTCAAAGCAATAATTCTGTCCTTTTCTAGGTCACTTAAAACTCTGTTGCCTGGATTTGATGTTACAACCATATACAGAGAGGCTGAGCTTTTGGTAAGTGGAAGTTTAGAACTTGGACTTTAAGATTTCAAGGCAAGCGAAACCATATATACAGCTTAGAAAATGTTGTATGGTCAAACATAAGGTGAACCCCAGGGAGCCCTATACCAAGGTCACAGGACGAAAATTTCTGGAATTAAGCAAGCCCCATAGCAACTGTTGCCATCAACCTCCTGATCTAAACTGGCCAGTTCCCTGACCCCATAATACCGAACCTATTAGCCAGCTATAGCATCCTAAACAATCACCTAATGCCCCTCTTCCAGCTGGAATTTTCTCTATCTTGAGGCTATGAAAATTGGCCACCAGCCTCCAAAAGGGGTCGGCTTTCCCTTGAGCCAGCCCCCTGTTCTAACAGTGTCTCCCACTCTAATGAACTATTCTCCTCTCATTCTGCCTAAAATATCTGGAAATTGTTTTCCAATCCATGCACAGACCATGACAGACCTTAAAGAAAATTTGTAAAGCCATTTGTCAGCAATTTTTCAGACTACAAAGATGGTTTTATGTATCTTGTTAAACTGTAAAGATTTCACTGACATAAATTTAAACTATTTCATGGAATGACTACTTCCCAGATAATTAAAACATTTACATATTAAAGAATATATTCCATAGAACATATTCTATAATTTGAAATCAGACCCAAGAATGTATTATAAACAATAAACTGCCCTTAAGTATTGGGTTGGCCAAAAAGCTCGTTTGGATTTTTCAATAAGATGTTACAGAAAAACCCCAAAGAACTTTTTGGCCACTCTAGTATATGGCCTATGATTTATTTGGTATGACTGATTTTACTACACTTCAATTCCAGGCACAAAATAGTTTAGTTTTTTATTTTTTATTTTAATTGGAGTAGGTGGGAGAAAAAATAGGGTGAGTGTTTAAAAACAAAACAACTTTTCATTTACGTTACAAATCACAAGCTGAAGATACTCTCCAAGTTCTGAAAACAAGACTCAGAAGCAGTATGATAACTGGTTGGTAACAGTAATCCAATAAATTGCAATCCAAAAGCGTTTTTTAAAAAAGGAGTTCTTTTGTAGGTATTTCAGAATCCCAAACTCTTCTTTACATTACAGGAAAAAATGCAAATAAATCTATATTTGAGGCAATATGGCAATGCACATCTTTCTTGGGATAGACCATACCAGCCCCCTCAGTACGGCAGGATGTTAATCTATCTTGTCTGCGCATTCCATGACGTCCCTCAAAACATCCTAAACTGTCAAAGAACCGAACTCTTGGGTTGTTCTTAACAATTCTGGGATATTTCATGGATTTCTGGGAGTCACTGCCCAGTTTTCATATCACATAAATGGAGAGAGAGGGGCCATTTCCCACATGTGCTGGGAAATTTCATATGAATCCCTTCCTGGATTCATTCTAGGGGTTTCCAGCTTTTCTGCACATCTTGAATCCAAGGGCTTCCTGGGTGGCGCCTAGTGGTAAAGAACCTGCCTGCCAAAGCAGGAAACACCGGAGGCATATGTTTGATCCCTGGGTTGGGAAGATCCCTCTGGAGGAAGGAAATGGCAACCCACTTCAGTATTCTTGCCAGGATAATCCTGTGGACAGAGGAGCCTGGTGGGTTATCGTCCCTGGGGTTGTAGAGAGTCGGACACGACTGAAGCAACACGCATGCATCACTTAATTCCAAATGCTTTAAAGGGATGTGCAGAGCAAGAAGCAAAAAAAGATAGTTTGGGATGTGAAGTTCAGACACAGGTGCGCTGCCCCTCTGTGCTCAGCAACTGCGGGGCACGATACCTTCCAGTCGTTTCTGAGCCACAGAAACCTTGGTTGGTAGTTCTGCAGATTAATCACAGCTGACCCTGCTGCTCCACTGCTGAGTTCTGCCCAAATGCCTGCAAAGGCATCCCAGAGCAGCAGGCCGCCACTGTGAGAGGGCCCAGACAGCAGTGATTCTCAGCACGTCAGCGTCTGTAGGCAGTCCAGCACCCGGGTCGTGGTTACAACCCCAGACACCGAGTGTCCCACCATCCCACACAGGTGGTCACGGCCTCCCTTGGAGGCGGTTGGGGGAAGACGCATGGATGGGGAGACCCGCCATTCTCGTGGAAGGCTGGGATATGGGCCTGGAAGCAAAGGCCCTGGCCAACACAAAAGGGCGGTGGGCAAACATGATGTGCCATTAACCAGGTAGCAGGTGAACACTTTATCTGAGCCCTTGCCTGAAGGGCCAGGGCTTACAGCATGCACTCCAGGCATGAGGCGACGCGACCACAGATGAGGCCTCGCGGTGCCACCCTCGTCAACCAGGTTGCTTGTGTCCAAAGAATCGGCAGTCCTTTTAACCAGGGTGGTCCTGGCCGGAAGTTGCCAGGCACTGCGGGCAGCTGCGTCCAACGCAGCTCAGGACGCAGGGGCGGTCCCAGACCCAGCCGTCCGCACACGCTCGGCGCAGGCGCACTAGCAGCTGGCTTCCTGCGGAATCTCGATTTGGAGACTTCGGGGCACTCGAAAGGCGTGAGGTCAAGTTTTCTTTTTTTTTTTGCTGTGTCCCCAGTTCGCTCTCCTCCTGGGCCCCGGGGCTAGAGCTGCAGCTCCTGCTCAGCCCGGAGAGCCTCCACCAGCCTCTGCTTTAGGAACTTCAGCCCGTCCTGGTTACTTAAGTCTGCAAGGTGAGGACCTCCCTCTTGACAGCCATGGCAGCCCGTTCTGGAGTTGTCAGTCAATACATTGCTTTTTGAATGTTTAAACACACTTGTGGTTTTTTTCTTCCTTAGACCTAAATCAGCCATGGTGTGTCTTCTTTCCTGTATTTTGTTGAATTTGGTTTGCTAAAATTTTGCCTCAAGTTTTTGCATGTAACGTGAGAGACGGAGCTCTAATTCTCTTTTGTTGGTGTATCCTTGGCGAGCTTTAGTTTCAGTCTTCCGCCTTCCTCATTGAATGAGCTGGGGAGTAGTCCCTCTTTTAACAGTCTGCAGAGTTTATCAGGCTGCTGTTAATTTATTCCTTAAAATATGTCGACCGAGAAAAAGCGCACACTGTGAGAGTTGTGAGTTAAGTTTTATTTGGGAAAATGAGGATTGCAGCCTGGGAGACAGCCTTTGAAGATAGTTCTGAGTACCTGCGCAGAAGAGGTAAGGGGAAGGTCAGTATGTATGAGGTTTTAGGGGATAAGTGCAAACAAGAACACATTTTGGCAGAAGGTTGCCACTGGTCCCAAGAAGTAGATGTCTCTAATGATTTTAGTGCTTTTCTAGGTATGAGAAGATGCGAGAAACTGGACTCATAAAATAAGTTCACCATAAAAACGCAACTTTTCCATATGGGATATTTTTTCAAGTTTTTAATCTTTTTTATCACAAACCTACACAAAAAATTTCTCTCAGGAGTCATATTCAGTAGACTTCTTATATCTCATTTGTCAGGACTGTGTTCACTCAGATACAGGAGTATTTGGAGAGTTGATCGTTTTCACCTGGGTCCACTGCTGCCACAAACAAGACTGGGCTTCTGTTAGAGCACAGAAAAAATCAGGTAAGTGGATCTTAGTTCTTTAGCTTTTGTATAATTTTTCTTTTTAAGATTTCTCATTTAAGTGATATCTTATATTTGTCTTTCTCTATCTGACTTATTTCACCTACTATGATAATCTTCAGGTCATCCATGTTGCTGCACAAGATATTATTTCATTTTTTTAAAATGTTTGAGTAGTATTCATAACAATATTCCATTCCATATGTACCATGTCTTCTTTATCTATTTCTCTGTGGATGGATATTTACATTGCTTCCATGTCTTGGCTTTTGTAAACAGTGAACATTGGCATGCACGTATACTTTCGAACCATGGTCTTCTCTGGATACATGTCCAGGAGTGGGACTGCTGTGTCATATGGTAGCTCCACTTTTAGTTCTCCAAGGACCCTCCATACTGTTTTCCATATACCAATTTACATTCCCACCAACAAAGTAGGAGGGGTCTTCCCTTTCCTCCATTCCCTCTCCAGTATTTATTGTTTGTAGATTTTTTTGATGATGGTCATTCTAACTGGTGTAAGGTGATATCTCATTATAGTTTTGTTTTTTCAGCTTTTTATTTTATATTGGGGTATATAGGTGATTAACAGTGTTGATTGTTTAATTAGGTTCAGGTGGTTAATTAGTTTCAGGTATACAGCAGAGTGATTTAGTTACACACATACCTTTATCTAGGGGCTTCCCAGCTGGCTCAGTCAGTAGAGGATTCACCTGCAACGCAGGAAACCTAGGTTCAATCCCTGGGTCGGGAAGATCCCCTGAAGAAGGGAATGACTACCCACTCGAGTATTTTTGCCTGGAGAATTCCATGGACAGAGGAGCCTGGCGGGCTACAGTCCATGGGGTTGCACAGTCAGACATGATTGAGCAACTAACACACTATACATGTATCTCGGGCTTCCCAGATAGCACTGGTGGTAAAGAACTTGCTTGATAATGCAGGTAGACATAAGAGACATGGGTTCAATCCCTGGGTTGGGAAGGACCCATGGAGGGGGGCAGTCCACTCCAGTATTCTTGCCTGAAGAATCCCATGGACAGGACTCTGGGGTCCATGGGGTCACAGAGTCGGATATGACTGAAGTGACTTAGCACTCCTGCATACATTTATCTATTGTTGTTCTAATTCTTTTCTCATTTAGGTTGTTATGTAATACTGAGCAGAGTTCCCTGTGCTATATAGTAGGTCCTAGTTCATTATCCATTTTAAATATAGCAGTGTGTACACGTCAAATCCAGACTCCCTAATTATCCCTCCCTCCCCTCTTCCTTCGAACCATAAGTTCATTCTTTTAAGTCTGCGGGTCTGTTTTTGTTTTATAAATAAGTTGATTTATATCAATATTTTTAGATACTGCATATAAATATAGCCTATGAACATTTGTGTTTCTCTGATTTATGTCTCACTAAGGATGACAATTTCGAGGTCCATCCATGTTGCTACAAATGGCATTATTTCATTCTTTTTAATGGCTGATTAATATTTTATTGTATATGTGTACCAAATCTTCTTAAGGCATTCCTCTGTTGATGGACATTTAGGTTGCTTCAATGTCTTGGCTACTGTAAACTGCAGTGCAATGAAAACTAGGGTGCATTTTTACTTTGGGACCATGTTTTTCTCTGGATATATGCCCAGGAGTGGGACTGCAAGGCCATATGGTAGCTCTAGTTTTAGTTTTTTAAGGAACCTCCATACTGTTCTCCATAGTGGCTGTACCAGTTTACATTCCCACCAACAGTGTAGGAGGGATCCCTTTTCTCCACACCCACTCCAACATTTATTGTCTGTAGATGTTTCGATGATGGCCATTCTGACTAGTGTGAGGTGATACCTCATTGTAGTTTTGATTTGCATTTTTCCATTAATTGATGGTGTGGAGCATCTTTTCATGTGCTGCTTAGCCATCTGTATGTCTTCTTCAGAGAAATGTCTGTTTAAACCTTCTGTCCTCTGCCCATTTTTTGATTTTGTGTGTGTGTGTGTGTGTGTGTGTGTGTGTGTGTGTGTGTTGAGCTGCATGAGCTGTTACTAGATTTTGGAGATTAATCCCTGTCAGTCCCATCATTTGCAGATATTTTTGCCCATTCTGTGGGTTGTTTTTGTTTTGTTTTGTTTATGGTTTCCATTGCTGTGCAAAAACTTTTGAGTTCAGATAGGTCCCATTTGTTTATTTTCGTTTTTTCTTTTTACTCTAAGAGATGGATTGAAAAAGATATGGCTGCAGTTTACATCCAAGAATGTTCTGCCTATGTTTTCTTCTAAGAGTTTTATAGTATCAGGTCTTACATTCAGCTCTTTAATTCATTTTGGGTTTATTTTTGTGTGTGGTATTAAAGAATGTTCTAATTTCTTTCTTTTGCTTATAGCTGTCTAGTTTTTCCAGCACTGCTTATCAAGGAGACTGACTTTTCTTCATTGTATAATCTTGCTTTCCCTGTGATAGATTAATTGGCCATAGGTGTACGGGTTTCTTCTGGGCTTCTATCATGTTCCGCTGATTTATGTTTCTGTTTCTGTGCCAGTATCATGCTGTTTTGATGGCTGTAGCATTGTAGGACAGTTTGGGGTCGGGGAGCCAATGCCTCCAGCTCCATTTTTTCTCTCTCAAGGTTGTTCTGGCTGTTTGGGGTCTTTTGTGTCTCCAAACATACTAAAAAATTTTTTTCTAGTTCTGTGAAAAATGCCTTTGGTAATTTGGTAGGGATTGCATTGAATCTATAGATTGCCTTGGGGAGTATAGTCATTTTGGCAATATTGATTCTTCCAATACAAGAACACAGTGTATCTTTCTGTCTGTTTGCATGTCTTCAGTTTCTTTCATCAGAGTCTCAATGGTTTTCAGAGTAACAGGTCTTTTGCCTCCTTAGGTAGGTTTATCCCAAGGTATTTCATTCTTTTTAATGTGATGGTAAGTGGGATTGTTCCCCTAATTTCTCTTTCTGATCTTTTATTGTTAGTGTATAGAAATGCAACAGATTTCTGTGCATTAGTTTTGTATTCTGACTTTACCAATTTATTGATGATATCTGGTAGTTTTCTAGTTGCATCTTTAGGATTTTCTATGTATAGTATTACATTATCTGAAACTACTGACAGTTTTACTTCTTATTTTCCAATTTGGATTCCTTTTATTTCTTTTTCTTCTCTGATTGCCATTACTAGGACTTCCAGAACTACTTTGAATAGAAGTGGTGAGAGTGGACATCCTTGTCTTGCTTCTGAATTTAGAGGAAATGCATTTAGCTTTTCACATTGAGTATGATGTTAGCTGTAGGATTGTCATATATGGGCAATATTACGTGGAGGAATGTTCTCTCTAAGCCCTCTTTCTGGAGAGTTTTTATTATAAGTGAGTGTTGAATTTTTTCAAAAGCTTTTTCTGCATTTTTTGAGATGATCACATAATTTTTATTTTTCAATTTGTTTATGTGGTATATCCAACACTGATTGGTTTATGGATATTGAATAATCTTTGCATCCCTGGGATAAATTCCATTTTATCATAGTATATGGTCCTTTTAATGTGTTGTTGAATTCTGTTTGCTAGTATTTTGTTGAGGATTTTTGTGTATATGTTCATTAGTGATACTGGCATGATTTTGGTATCAAGGTAATGGTGGCCTCATAGAATGAGTTCAGGAGTGTTTCTTCTGCAGTTCTTTGGAATAGTTTCAGAAGGGTAGGTGTTAACTATCCTCTAAATGTTTGGTAGAATTCACCTGTGAAGCCATCTGCTTCTGGACTTTTGTTTGTTGAGAGTTTTTAAATTACTGATTCAATTTCAGTAATAGTAATTAGTCGGTTCATATTTTCAATTCCTTCCTGGTTCAGCCTTAGGTGATTGTACATTTCTAAGAATTTGTTCATTTCCTCTAGCTTGTGCATTTTATTGGTATTTAGTTACGCATAGTAGTCTCTTAT